TATGTGTTCCACCAAATCTACAAGCTCTCTTATCACCAAGTTCTTAATACAATTAAGTAGGGAAACAGGACCATGTGATCCTTCAGGTGATCATGTCCCTTACCCAAATGCCTCTTCTTCACCACTCACCACATATTCAGCAATTTTGGCATGATCTATACATATATATAGGCTTTTATCATCTCCAAAATCAACAAATTCCAACGATTCTACTTACTAACAAATTTTTTCTCTCCTCTCTCAAGCTACTGAAATCTTGATTATCTTTTCTCTAAGTGACTAATTAACAATGGCTATTCGTTTTCCCCGTGTATTGTATTCCAAGCAGATTCTCCGCAGATCAAATTCTTTTGGAAATCAGTTAGCTTCCTCTGATGTTCCAAAAGGCTACGTTGCAGTCTATGTTGGAGATCAAGATCAAAAGAAGAGATTCATAATTCCAATATCATTCTTGCATCAACCTTCATTTCAAGAGTTGCTATGCATGGCAGAGGAGGAATTCGGCTACAATCATCCAATGGGTGGTCTCACACTGCCCTGCACAGAGGACATCTTCGTTCACCTCACTGCCCGCTTGAACAGATTGTGATATTCACTAACTTCTGGTCAACTAGAAGGAACAATATTTTATTTTTTTGTAAAAAAAGGATATTGAAGTGAAAGTTTATGTCCATAGAGAGAGTTCTTAACAGTAACAGCTGTAGTTGTTTCAACAATTTTGATCAATTGTAACTAGTTATATAAATTAATCATATCTTTTTAGTTTAAAGTTCCAATTGTCTTTCCTCTTTTCTGAACGTAAAGGCTTAATTGCATCAAGTGATTCACTTCTCTAACATTACCAGTATGCTTATTTTAATTCCAGATTTCTGCAGTTTGAATCTAAAAGAAAAGGAATCTCTAACCTTGCATGCTATTCATCTAAATTCCAAATCAGAAATGAGCTTAGAAACCAATTTAGACAGCTTAAAAACCTTGAAAGAATTACCCACAGTATAGGGGTCTCAAAAGGAACTTCATTCAGGATAACAACTGTAGATTAATAATTTGGACATGGAAGAATTCTGTAGCTTCTAAGAAACTGAGGGAACTAACACAAAATTTTTTATTTACTATTCACTCTGGAACCAGAAAGTCTTAGAAGTTTCATCATGGATCAGCATCTAAAATCTGATACTTGACATAATATTCAGTAAATGGATCAAGGAAAGTTGTTAAGTTTCAGATAAAAGAAGACAACGTCAAAAAACATGGAATCCCATGTGAAATGCAAATTTGAAAATATTTTATTCATGTTGCTATTGAATCGTGTCCTTGTCTTCTTGTTTTGAAGTATTCAGCGATATATTATGTTGTTTTCAAACGAAAATTCACTTGCTTGATAGCATGAATCAAACATATTCTACCAGTGAAATTAAGTTTTAGCCTAAATCTCTAACTTTGATACCACGAGAAATAATAAAGTCAAAATGATCTTCTCAAAAGGTAGAGATGAGAAGAAATAGTGTAATCTATTAGTTATATTTTGATAAAGATAAGATAAACTAGTTATATTTTCTGGAGCATGTCTCCAATCAAATGGTGGCTCAACTTCTCAACTGCAACAACCTCAGGGAGACTGCTGTCCACTTCAAATGATCTTTAGCTGGATTTCCATTGGCTTTATTGGAAACCGGTAGGGAACAATGTTTGTGGAAATTTCACTCAACATAACTTGGAAAATCAAAATCTTTGTCAATTAGTTGAAGAACAGAACCATGTGAAACTCTCATGAGCACTGTCTTAGCCAGACCCCAGTAAATGTTTCTTAACCACAAACTTCCATTCAATTAGCCACTTATTGCTTTAAATAGTTGTGCTCATTTTTTTTCATTTCAAGCAACTCAGATATTCACTTTCCAATCTGTAGCATTCTCAGTTTAAAGCCCTTCCAAATCTTTTTCCTTGCCTCAGAATGGGAATTTTTCGCAGTGCTATTCTTACCAAGCAAATTCTTTGCCACTCCATTATGTCTGCCAATAAAGCATCTTTGGCACCTGGAGATGTTCCGAAAGGCTTTCTTGCTGTCTATTCTGGAGAGAACCAGAAGAAGAGATGTTTGGTTCCAGTATCATATTTAAGCCAATCTTCATTTCAGGCTTTGCTTATTAAAGCTGAAGAAGAGTTTGGTCCTGATCATCCAATGGGCTGTTTGACAATTCCCTGCAACAAAGAAACTTTCCTTGATGTCATCTCTCATTTGTAACGCATCATGAAAGTAGGCATTTGGATTTGTTAGAGAAGAAAATTTTCACAACTGTGCACCAAAAGGCCTTTGGCTGTGTACAGTGGAGAAAAACCGAAAGCAGCATTTTATGGTTTCATTTTTATATTTCAGAAGCTGCCATTTCATGCTGGAGATAAAACTGATCCACAGGGATGCCATGAGCAATTCCTGGCAGTCAAAGCTTCCAATCCTCTAGCCACTGAAGAAAATACGAAGAGGATGAAAATAGTCCATGGTTAGACCAGAGAAGAAATACTGTTTGACAATACTGACGGAAAAATTTCATTGTTTGATAGCTAATTGTCGAGTTTTCATTCTCTATAAAACTAATCCAAAAAAATATACAAACAGGGTGTTTACTTCATCTAATCTCTGTGTAATTCAGAATACATTGAACAAGCAAAATGCACATCCAGTTCTAGCTCAGGTAACATGGAGCAGAAATTCCTTCTTGCTATTATTCCAGTAGTTCTAGATTGTTGATTGGAAGTGTTAGCTACCCAAGTCTGAGGAAATATACATGTTAACATAAGATTCCTCTTCAAAACCAATAAAGCTAAATCCTTGAATTTTCAATTTTCACTTAAGTTTAAAAGGTTTTGGACTTAGATCTTATATTTGGCTTTGATTGTCCACTTTCAATCTGTTTGAACACTATTTCTGTACCTTCAATCATTTGAATAAAATAGAAGTAAAGCAATAGGAATTCAGAAATACATGGTGAGTACTGACACTGCTATTAAATACTATACAGCAAATCGAGATCTATCCCGACCATAGACTATATCATATTGACTAATCCATGTAAATTGTTGTGCTTTTTATTTTTCTGCTTTGACCTACTTAACTTTTCTGTATTGCAAAATTGCATGGTAATTTTGACTGGTTTAACTCTTATGCAGACTGGTAATAATGGGTGCAATTCACATTCTCTCCACCTGGATTTTGTCTAGAAAATTGTCCTTCTAAAACCAAAAAAGAAAAAGAAAATCTCTAATGCTTTTCAGGCCATCTTGGTTGCAGTTTTCTTCCAGTCTCATACAGAGATAATTCTTCATCTTTGTAATTTTTTATATGTAGGTAGTCACTACTAAAAAAAAGTAAAATATTAGTCACTACTGTGGTCTAATAATATTCCTCTATTAACATAAAAAAAGTAAATCAAAGAGCATATATATGATACTGTAGGTTTAAACTGAAACCTTGAGATTCTTTTCTCTTTTTTTTAAAAAATTTTTTGCTTGGCTCTGAATAAAATTTTTCTGAGCCATTCATCCCCAAGAATCTTACTTCACAGAAATTAAAGTTGATTCCAAGATAAAACACATTTATATTAAATGTCTCATATGGAGACTGAACCAGATCTATAATGCCTTGGTTATCCATTCTTACCAAAACATACTAAACATCTTTGGCATGTCTTCTGTCCCGAGAAATCATCATTTTCCATCCCCGTTGGGTCCATATAAGTTGGTCTCGTAAAATGCTTGGTCATAATTTGTGCCAAAAAAATGGTCTCTATCGCCCACCAAGTTCTTGGTGCTGAGCTGGTAGACAATACCATGTGAGCCTTCAAGGCCTGGTGTCTCTCCCTTGCAGACCTCTCTACCGTTCATCCCACATTTCATAGTTTTCATTTCTATAGATGCACTCCCTTTTGTATATCTATAAATACATAGTTTTGTATCACAACCTAAACCAAGTCCTTACACTAAATCATTTTTCCATCTCTAGGCTTTCGTGATCTTCTATACTATTACTACTACAAGTGCTAGAAAAAACACAAAAGATCACCCATGGCTATTCGGGTTCCAGGTGTTACACATGCTAAGCAAATTTTGCGCCAGGCAAAGTATTTGGTTAACCAATCATCGTCAACAAGTGTCAATGTGCCGAAAGGTTATGTTGCTGTTTACGTGGGAGAAAATGAAATGAAGAGATTTGTGATTCCAATATCATTCCTGAGTCAACCTTCCTTTCAAGAACTTCTAAGACAGGTAGAGGAGGAATTTGGATTCAATCATCCAATGGGCGGTCTGACAATTCCCTGCAGCGAAGATCTCTTCGTTGATCTCACTTCTAGCTTGAATGGACCTTAATAAGCCACAGAAAAAGAGAGAGTGAATGAAAATTTTGTAGATTCATGTAAATTTTTTTCTCTGTCATAGCGCAAGAGAAGAGGAGGTGGATAATGTCTCCCTACTTGATAAGAGATTACAATAGAAACTGCTGCAATTTTATCCTCACATTCTATGAATTATAATTATATTTTAACACATTTTGTTACTGTATTTTTGTTGTGCATATTCCCAAATAATTTGTTTCACATTAGCTTATACTCAACTCATCATAAATTCATTATCACACCTCTTCACATGCAACAAAAATATATCATTTGAGGTTAACTGGGACCAGATTGCTCCATTGAGTAAATAGCAAGTACCAGATTGTTGGTGTACTAAGACTAAATTTTTGGGCTAACTGAGAATAAATTTATCCTCATTTGGGTTTAAGGCAAATCATCCGTACTGAAATTATGCTTAACTCAACTCTAATTACATAATTTACTTGGTACAGTTTATAAATCTTTAATCAAAATACCTAACAGATGAAGTAAGAAGTAGAACTTATGTAAGTAATGTTCATAATGATTAATTCCTTTTGTTTGAGATAGTGAGGATGCAATTAATGAACATGGACAGTTTGTAACACTACGCATCCCATAAAGACATCAAAAGCACCAACAACCAGCACTCATAAGAGATAAATTGAGACAGTGATGAGCTTGTGGTTTTATAATGTATTCATCTTTATACCTTATTTTACCAAACATGACATCCAAGTAAGGAAATACAGACTCTTCAAGTATAATCCAAACAAAACCCGTACATACATGATGATTATGAGTCTGGGGATGACTTTATGCCATTTGTTACACACACAAGCCCACCACAGGCTCGTCCATCGCTCAAAGTACTATTTTTTTATACTTTTGAGGTCTTTAAACTATAATATTATACTATAATTTTCTTTACCATATAGGTTGTCATCATATCATCCTAATACACTAAAGTAAATAATATTTTTCTTCGTACTGGCAATTCGCCCTTTTACAACTTCATGATTCCTCCACTATTAAAAAAAACACATCCTGAATAGATTATCACAATTAACATGTCTCCAATTAGATATTCACTAACTTATTATTCACATAATTCACTTTGTACAGTTTATAAATTTTTAATCAAAATGACTAACAAATGAAATAAGAACTAGACTTTATGTAAGTAATGTTCAGTCAAAACTTACCAGACAATTCACTAATTGTTGGATTGCATATACTCTTGCCAAATTGTACTCTATGTCTCTAGAGTCTGTATTTCCTTACTTGGATGCCATGTTTGGTAAAATAAGGTATAAAGATGAATACATTGTAAAACCACACGCTTATCACGGTCTCAACTTATCTCTTATGAATGCTAGTTGTTGGTGCTTTTGATGTCTTTATGGGATGCATAGTGTTACAAACTGTCCATGTTCATTAATTGCATCTCACTATCTCAAACAAAGGGAATTAATCATAAATTCATATATAATCCAAACAAAACCCATACATCCATGATGATTATGAGTCTGGGGATGACTTTATGCCATTTGGTACACACACAAGCCCACCATAGGCTCGTCCATCACTCAAAGTACTATTTTTTTTATGCTTTTGAGGTCTTTAAACTATAATATTATACCATAATTTTCTTTACCATATAGGTTGTTATCATATCATCCTAATACACTAAAGTAAATAACATTTTTTTTCGTAGTGGCAATTCTGCTTTTTACAACTTCATGATTCCTCCACTAAAAAAAAAAAAATACTTGTCACAATTAACATATCTCCAATCAGATATTCACTAAGCTATTATTCACGTTGTGAAAAATAATTATACAACTGTCCTTCTCCAACCTTTATCTGTGTTTAATTTTGAAATTTTTGTAGGACACCTTGTTTGTCAAGTGCAGACAGACAAGGTATAATTTTTTAACCTATTAATTTTTTGTGTAATACCTGGAGGACAAAACCATGTGAAGCAGACCCCAGAAAATGCTATGCCACTAATTCCAGATCTTTCAGAGGATTTTCTTTATATCTGGTAATTCCATATATATACACGCACAGACGTAAATACATATATCCACGAACTTTTGTTCACAAACCAAATAAAGCCAACTCTCAACACTGTTAGCTCACAGCTTTTTTCCTTCAAAAACAAGCTCCTCTTCTCAAGACCAATATCAAAACAAATATTTTCCGGTTGCCTGATGTAGTAGTAACAATGGTGATGTTAATTACTATAACAGTAACAATAATGATGACGATGGTAACTATAATTGAAGTGACAGCAGTTATAATGGAGATGATAATGTAGTGGCAACAATAAAATGGTGAAAGTAGTAAGGGATGATGCTAGTGGCAACAATGATAAGGTTAGCAACACTGCTGATGGTAGCCATGGCTTTAGTAGTGTTAATAGCTTAGGGATAGCAACAAAGACGAGAATAAGGGTGATCGCAGTGATGGAACGAATAATGCTCTCATGGGAATAGCAATGATAGAAGCAACAATAGAAACATTGACACAGTATTCTATTAGGTAGTGTTTGTTTACTTTTTATATGATGAATAATAGTATCATCCTAACAAAAAAAATTCCCTCAAAAATATTGAATGAAGTGAGACAAAGAGCCTTATCCATCTCCTCACTTTTTACTACATATCGTACCAAATATAAAATGGTTGATGAATTTCTTATTTAGAGGACCCAATAAAATTTACTTAGTACAGAAAATCGATAAGTTCAATTTTAATGAGTCGAAATAGATTGACTCATTGTTATAATAAGCGAGTTAACTGCAATAAGAAGTATTAAGAGTCACTCTGCACGGTCTGTGTGCTTCACTTGTGATGTATTGGGCTCACAACAAGACCATCCAATTTGAATGAACGGAGCCAGATTTGAGATCAAGCTAGATTTGCCTGTTTGAATGAACCCAGTCTTCGGTGGCATTTTCGGATTTAGATCCAAAATTTTTATTATCATTGTTATCATATTGAAATATATTATTTTGATCATTGTTTCCTTCGTTCAATTTTCGAGTTTAGACCGATGTCACAACCAAGATTTTACCAAACCAGGATGAAAAGCACCTATTAATACGTATAGCTCAAACCAACCTAGCCCAGCCCATTTCATCTCTTAATTATAAACCAAGCATACAACAAGCCCTTGTGCCATCCTTCTGATGTTCAAGAAATCTCATTCCCAGTTTGGACAAAGCTTCAATTACGTCACTTAAATCTTGCATGTCTTGTAAAGACAAGTATCTCTTAGCAAAGCTCCAAAGCCACCTGCTTAAAACAGGCTTATTATTTTCTTCTTTTAATTTTCACACCCAACTCCTCTTTTCATCCACCAGATGCGTTGAACGAAACAGCCTTGAACCCCTAAACAACTACTACAAATCCTTAAACACCCCAAACCCATTATCCTTCAATGTCATCTTATCTGATTTCTCTCGAAATGGATTTGCTCTTCCAGCACTGAAAACCTTCTCTTTCATGCACACTCATGGGGTCCATATAGATACTTATGCTCTCTGCAGCTCTTTAACAGCTTCGTCTTCTGTTAAAGATTTAATCTTTGGGGAACAAACTCACACCCATGTGATAAAATCAGGCTGGTTGTCAAGTGTTTTTGTGGGGAGTTCTCTGGTTGATTTGTATTCAAAACTTTTATTTATCAGGGCTGCAGCACTGGTGTTCGATGAAATTCCTGTGAAGAACACAGTATGTGCAAATGCACTTCTATCAGGTTACTGCGACGCTAAGTTATGGGCTGAAGGATTTCAACTGGTTAGGCAGATGCCTTTGTTGAGTTTAGCTTATGATCATTTCACCTTATCAGCCATGCTGCGCGCTTGCGCAGGACTGCCAGCAATTGGCATGGGCAAGCAGGTGCATGCCTATCTTTTCCGCAAAGATTACAACATGGAAAATGATGTGTTCCTTAGAAGTTCTTTGATTGAAATGTATGGAAAGTGTGGACTGGTATTTCAGGCTTGGCGAGTTTTCAGTTGGGCTGGAATCAAACAAGAAGAAATCAGGAAAAGAGACATTGTGTTGTGGACTTCAATGCTTGGCGTATATGGTAGAAATGGGCAGTTCAAAGAGGTAATTGAGCTTTTCAAAGTGATGTTGATGGAAGGGATCAAACCAGATAAAGTGGCATTTTTGACAGTCATCTCAGCTTGTGGTCACACGGGCCAATCCAAACTTGGAATAGAGTATTTTGAATCCATGAGACATGAGTATAACTTGGATCCTGGACCAGAGCACTGTAGTTGTATAATTGATTTGTTTTGCAGGGCTGATGAATTGGATAAAGCATGGAAACTGATATGTGAGATGGAAAAATGGGATTGTGGTAGGAGCATTTCAATGTGGGGAACCCTGCTTCGCAAGAGTGAGGACAGCGGGAATCTTGAGATGGGTAGATTTGCTGCTCAAAAGGCACTTGAGTTAGATCCTAACAATGGTGGGATTTACATTATGTTGTCAAATTTATATGCCAAGTTTGGTATGTGGGAAGATATCAGCCAGTTGAGAGAGTTGATGAAGGAGAAGAAGTTGGAGAAAAATGTTGGATGTAGTTGGATTGAGGTCACTAATTTGACTCAAAAGTAAGTTTTTCAAGTAAAATTATTGAAAGCAGCATTCAGCAAAGCTTTTGAGAGAAGGATCATGGAAATATTGAACTCAAAAAATGGCTGCCTAACCATTCTTTCTTTTTGTTCTTGTTCATGGTAAATTTTTGGGGATCCAAGGGGTTAACTCATTGGTAAAAAAGTGTTAATTTACAGGATAAGTAAAGGCAAAATTATAAGGATTTTTCGTGAAAATTTTATACTCTTTGTATAAATCACCTATTCTTGATTGAATAAAAAATAAATTTAATTTACACGATAAATTAAAACGAAATTTTAAGAATTTTTTATGCAAATTCTATATTTTTTTTGTGTAAACCACTTATTTTTTATTGGACAAAACATGAATTTAATTTTTATACATAAAAATTAATTTAGTAATATCTTAACGATTAAAAAAATTGATTCCATAATTTTAGAAAATAATATAAATAAATTCTTATCTTTGTCTTAACATTATTAATCATATTTAAGAATAATTTTATTCTCATTTATTATAATTAAAAAAATTTAATTACCCTCTAAAGAAATTAATTTTTAATAATAATTTTAACCTTATTTATTATCGGTTTCATTTATATTTTAGTTTCAATTAGCTCCGCCATACCAACAGTAAGATTCATGATGCCTTATGTGTTAAATTACTGCAATGCAGATAGGGTGCGTATTTCGCTAGCAAATCATAATGCGCCACGACATAAATGAAGGGTAATATTGTCATTTTATTAAATTCATATTTACATTTATTGTTCTCGCATAATGTAGCTCGCCGCAGGATATAATTTCTTCAGATATTAACGGTATTAAAACCAGACCAGAGTCAGACCCTGCAATTTAGCAGAAACAAAACCCTAATTTCCTCTGTATCAAAACGTCGATTTCTCAGTAGAAACGCGAAGTCCAAATTTTCACAAAATGACAAACAGTTCATCGTCAAAAATGCACAGTCAAGATCGGCCCGAAATAAGTGGGTCCACCACCAAATCACAGAGAACTAAAATGGGAAAACCCGAAGATGGTGAAAAGAAGGTAACTATCAGCTTTTGTTTTAATTTGGATCATTACTCATTTCTGCCACTGCCAAGAAAATGCTACCTAGAAAACAAAAACCTGTTTCCCAATCCAAGTTTTTTGGATATTCTGTGTTTTGAAGTTGCTCTGTTTCCTGGAGACATTCTGCTTGAAATTAAATTTTGAGACTAAAAAATCTGTATATGGTACATTTTTTGGTGTTACCCAACTTTCTGTTTTCTCCGGAAGACTATGTGTCATTGAACTCATAGAAGAAAACAATAAGTGGGATATGAACACATACATACATACATGGAAGCCCTGTTTTAAATCTGGAAATAGAGTTTGATTTTTTAATCTCTTTTCTTTCTATTTTTTGGGTAGATGAAGCTCAAAGATATTGAGATAAGTGTACCCATTGTGTATGGCAATGTGGCATTTTGGCTTGGCAAGAAGGCAAGCGAGTAAGTGTTGTGGAGTTGAAGCTGGTTTGACCTTTAGTTCTTGTTTGCATGGCAAGTACTTGAGTTAATGCATTAATCAGGTACCAATCACATAAATGGACTGTGTATGTTCGTGGGGCGACAAATGAAGATCTGGGTGTGGTAATAAAGCGTGCTGTTTTTCAGCTGCATTCTAGTTTCAATAGCCCTACAAGAATTGTGGAGACACCACCATTCGAGTTATCGGAAGCAGGGTGGGGTGAATTTGAGATTGCAATTACATTGTTTTTCCACAGTGATGTCTGTGACAAGCCGTTGAATTTGTGAGTAGTTGTTTGCTTGTTACAGCAACTATTGCATGCTCATTAATATAAGAAGCTCATGTTTTGCATCATTCTAGTATGCTAAAGTGATCAAATTCCAAAGTCCTAGGGAGAAGAATGCCTGGACTAATTTTGAAAGAGTTTCTGCTTCCATTTTCTATGCCCTGGATATCGTGATTTGACATGATGAAGTGCTGCTAGTATCCCAAAATGGTGAATCTGTGCTATGTCAATGACATGTTAAGAAAAGTTGAATTGGGATCCTTACTTTTTTGCATCTGTGTCAAATATACCAAATTGCATTTTAGATTGGATTCAATTGGGAGATATATCATTTTAATTGTTACTATAAGATTTATGAAGTGATACAAACATAATATTTTTGGAGTCAAATGGTTGAAGTATTTAAAACTTTCAAAATGTGACATGCTTATTATACAAACGCTGATGATTATATGGATCTCCGATTGCTCCTGTGCTGAAATGGAGACTGATAGTGACTTTGGTATATCTGGGCAGTTATCACTGAAAAAAATCATAATCAAATGAGCATTTCATTTTATTCTGGTATTAATGAGAGCCACAGACCAAATTAGATCCTAAGAATTCATTTCGAGTTTGAACAATCCACAGATACCATCATTTAAAGTTATATCCAGAGGACGAATCTACTACTATGTCAACTAAAAAGCCAGTTGTTGTTGAATTTTACGATGAGATTGCGTTCCCAGAGCCTTCAGAAAGTTTTTTAGCTCGTGTGCAGAATCATCCAGCAGTTACCTTTCCAAGATTACCAGGGGGTTTTACTTTACCTCCCCCTCGTATGTTACTGTATCATCTGTAAAGTTTCTCCTTAGAGTGCTCTGGATTAGTAAGTAATTTAATTTCCTTATAGTACCAGTTGAGGATGCGAATAGAAGGAAGAGAGGTGACACCAAAGACAATCCCCTGACTCAGTGGTTCATGAATTTCTCTGAAGCAGACGAGTTATTACAACTTGCAGCAGCCCGTCAACAGGTAAGCAAAATAAACCTGTGTCTGTTTCCTAATTAGTCATTTATCCCGTGATAATTTTACCATTAATAATAAATTCTATCCTTTTTGTGTTTTCTTTGATAGTGAGAAAATGATGTTTGGACATGATTAATGATATGCATTCATGCATCTGTTCAAGCATGTAACTATTTGTGGTGTTAACTAAATATTCCAAGCCACCTAGTGGATGATAGTTTCTTATCGTTTCTTTTTTTCCCCTCCCTTTTGTTATGCCTTGGAAATCCTTTTTTCAAATATATAACAAGGTGCATGAAACAGAGCACTCCCATCAAGTACATTGGAAGTATACAAATGATAATCCAAAACAAGAATAGACGCCTACTAGCAAATTGAAACACTAATGAAGAACAAAGTGAAAACAAAGGGATTCAAAGGAAAAAATCAAAGAAATCTCTAAGGAATTGCAATCCTGAATTCATCAATTGTCGTTCTTTGTTTTTAAGATCCCCGTGCTCTACATAAGAGAAAGATGGCTTCCACCAACTTCTTCTGCCAAAATTGCAATTACATATCCATGTATCCATTGAACAACCTTACTTGAAGGATCTGTTCTATAGGCCCGTACCTCTGTTTCCTTGAGTTCAAAGAAGACAGGATCTCAAGTCTGGTAGATGAATTGTGACCATATGATTAGAGCGTGACTAATGGCAGAGGCGGATCCGAACTGTTGATGCTGTAGAGGATCGTTCTCAGTTGGGTCTAATCCTTTTTAATTATTTCAAAAAAAAATGTATCCATTGATTGAATAACATCCTTAGGCATTATAAGACCATTGTGGGTCATATTCCTCGTAACATACTTGTTTTCAATTTCTTACTTTTTCAAAATTATCTTATTATGAACCTTCCTTTCCCATTCTTATTCATTTTTCTGAGGCTTTATTCAATTAGATATAGATCTTCTTTTCCTGTTTGAAGGATAAAATTTTCGATATGATTTCTGATGGTACTTTTTGCTTCTTAGCTAGTCTTAGTTGGAAATTTTATTAGCATGATAAACATAATAACTTTTCTTTGCTTAATGTTGGAGAATGTAAATAGGTGAAAGATAAAAGTAACTAATAATCATCTTACGAGGTTAAAACAGTACTATGTTTTGAATCACGCTACCACTTAATGGTGCTAACCAAGCCGCCGCTAACCACCACCTTATGGTACTGTTTTCTGTCCACCACCACCGCTACCCACGGCCTTCTGGAACTGTTTACTGTCCACCACTGCTGCTACCCTAAACCCTAGCTCTGATAAAAGGCAGTTTCTTTAGTACAGGAACAAAAATTTGACATTCTGACTTTCTTCTTGGCAGTCCAGACCACCATTAAGTAGTGCTTAATAAGCGAAGAAACTTCCGAAGTTGAGAAAAGGTACTTTTGTCTTTGGCAATCCAAAGTTAAAAAATTCTTTGTATCACACTACCAGAAAATCGAGAAACTTCGAAAATATTTTATTGCATATTGGATGATAGTTTTAGGAGGTTGTAAAGGTTCTTATGAGGTGTTAAATAAGTCTTTCCCAAATAGACTAGGAAATGCTAAAACTAGTCAGATAAGGAATACTATTCCTTGATAAAATAGGAAACTAGTACTCTAAAATTATGAATACTACTTCTAATAAAATAGAAAATACTGATACTCTTAGCATTAGGAAAACAAAATATAAATAAACTGGAAAACATAAAAGTACTTAATAAATTACTACTATGCCTATGTGTCATCATTTTCAATCACCACCTTATCAGTATCCACATTTCAATAAGATTTTCTTAAAAAAGCTCATTCAGGTTTCCTCAGGAGCTGTAAAAACTCAATTCAGTAGGATCTGGGATTTTTTTTGTATCTTTGCGCAAGATGAAACCATGGTGCACTGTTATTTAATTATTGTAGCATAATGTTTTATGCTATGCTTCTTTGCATGGCTGTTTTCTTACACAAAAGTTCACTCTTTGTTTTTGTTGGATAGTGCCTTGTACTCTTCTGGTTCTTTATAATCTGTTTCATGCTAAACGAATATAACCACCTTTGAACTCATTCAAATTAACACTTTCTGTAATTTCACTCGAGCTTGTTTATTTTATCTTGATAAGCTGTCTCAAGATTATGCAGGAAAGTGCATGAGGAAAATGTTTATTTGATGGTCTGAATCCATATTTTAGGTGCAAGCTCATATTGCTAAACTCAGACGACAAATAAGTTTGATAGATGCGCAGCGTCAACCTTTGAAATCTTGCTCCGACCAGTTAAATTTGTTATAAGAAGTTCCAACTGGTGAATTACATTATTCCTGCAAGTTTTTTGAGATTTCTCCTTCTAATGGATTTGCAGTGGAAGCACTTTATGGCATAAGAATGTAACAACACTGTATTTTTCCAATTGTGGGAAGTTTTGTGCCTTTTCTTTTCTAGTTTTTTTTCTATTTCACTTTTTGTATTGTTCCTTGTGACATTTACGCATTGTATCAATAAACAAAACCAAAAGAAGAATGTATCATCTGAGCAATAAAAAGATGAAATTTTGTCCTGAAATTTGGCCTGAATAATTGGAAGATATCCTCTTCTAAGCTTCTTGTTCTTTTTATTATTTGTGGTGCAATCGTTACTATAATTCAAGGAAATCAGAACAAGCATTAAAGTGGAGTGGATGGTTCAATACATTTGTGCATTTTAGGGTCTTAAACACTTGAATAAAGATATTTGAAATCACCTTCTCTGAATATTGTAATATGACGCTTTCTCCCACAGGCTGAGGGATTCAAACTCAGAAATCAGTGTAATTTCATAGGATGAAAGTATCAGAGTTGTACGAATGGAAACTATTATCACATTATCAGCAAAGCTCTCATATATCAAGCTAAAGTGCTTGGATACACTAAATTACATTTGTATTTAGATTACCTCGACTGCTGATGAAAAATTCAGCTTTTAAGCTTCACTTATTTCACCTTCCTTTCCCAAATAGTTCTAAAGATTTGAGTAGGCTGGGCTAGGCATGGAACAGGTAATGGTATGTTATGGACAAAATTCAATGGATTAAGTATTCCTGTTGATACTTGATTTTTACTTCTTCACAATCAAACTGCTGTATCTGAACAGGTAATACTTGAATGTTGTTCTTCATGTATGATAATGGGATCTATGCAGAGTTCATGACCGCATATTAGTACCCATTGATGAATCCTGAAGTGCGATAAAGCTGAGGGCCCTTCTCAGGTACAATTCACCTGTCTATAATGCTCTAAGTGTACATGCTAAAGTAGAAACAAGTTAATCCACATTGGCTGTAGTATGGGTCCTGCATTTGCTGTCAAGGTCAATTTAAAAATAATTCCATGTTTTCATCATCTTGGCTTGCCACATCAGATCAGCCCTATCCTTAAATCTCAAAACCTTTCTTAATCTGGTTGCAGTGGGTCCAGATAAAGTGTTATTTTTTCTTCATCAAATTGCATAAGCCTGTCTCCATCCAGGCTTCTCATTCTCAAGGTACTAATCTCATCATTAATGTTTGCTCAACTGTCCTTTCGAGTTGTTCATAACACATCTTGATATTCCCATACTACTGTAGATACCTGATTATTGTACCATTGTTTTACCTGCAAACTCCCTTCCATTGGATCCATTTTTTTCTGAACATTTTCATAACAACACATGTGAGCACAATTAGTTTCACTTTAATGGAACTTCTATATGTATCTGATCAGAGTGTGCGGAGATGCTATTTTTCAAGAGTTCTGACATATTGTGACACAACATAATTTTGATTCACTTAGCTCCATTCTTATCTAAAGTATCATCGGAACACCCTGGATGCAACAGTGTATCTTGATATGATCATCAAATTCCTCCATGAATTTTCAGGAACCTTCATTGGCCGTCTTTTAGAATGAACATGAGAGTCAATAGTTTTTGCTTTTCTATATTACCTTGGTACCAAAAACAGTGATCCGGTTAAGTTCCCTGGTGATGTACAGATAATTTCTAAAAATTATATAGATAATTATTTGGCTATTGTTTTCTGAACTACAATATCTGTAGTTACAAAGTTTATAGCAAGGTTTGTAGTAAGGACAAACTCAGATAGAGGAATTAAAAGTCTGAGGACTCATAAGGGAGGCCAAAAAGACGGTTACAGTTTGAGAGTTGTTGGGAAAATGTATAAAATAGTCATCTGAAAGAGCTGCAGTGATCTCACAAGGCCTTATTGTGCTGTCTTTACAGGAGAGTTTGGGGGCAAGAGTAACATGGCCTTCATGTGCTAAGCTAAAGGCAAAGTCATTATCAACCATACAGATAAATGCCTGACTCACATAGCTCAGCAGGGCACCGCAATTCAGTAAGAATGGTGGGCCTCTCTAAGAGCATATTTTTATCATGCATTCACTCAGCCAATCTCATTCACAGAACATGCAAGAGCTTCTTCCAAGATGGCGACCTACAGGTCTTCTTTTCCTTTTTCAATGGGTTTCACTTTGATTGTTGCTGTAATAAATATTTCTGTTTCACCTTCAAAACCTAATTACCAGAGGCGATATTCAAACATTAAAGTGATAAAGACAAAAGCAAATAACATTGCTATCTTTGTCTTTCGGTGGATAAAAGTTTTGAGGACTGAGGTGGCTTTGTTTTTTTAATATAGTCAAATTGAGGCTTAGAGCTTGGAGACATTGTGTTTTCATGTCTTTGTCTTTACACTTACCGAATTTCTATCCAGTATGTATATATGTAGTTTATGAATTACAGTGCAATTTACATTTTAGTATTTTTTGGATTGACTTTTTATACATTGAATACTTGTGGTTTTCTTTTTGGGTAACATTTCAATTACTGTAGTTTGGTTTTTTTATTGTTGTGCATGAAATTTTTATTTTTTTTTTTAGGTTCTTTTCTTATAACATTTTAGGTCATGTTTCTAATTTTGATTTGTTTAACCTTGTATTTCCACTTGTACGTTTTTATATGCATAAGCATGTTCAAATATCCTTTAAAAATCTAGAGATATTATGTTAATTAACTTAACTGCTAAACCACGAATTGTTGCCAGAAAAATCCACAAGCATTCCAATCCGTAGGAGATGAAACTGTGATTTTCCATTTTTTAGAAGAATATATAATAAGATTATAAATGCTTTCATGGACATTTTGGAATTATAAAAAAAAAAAACAAAAAGAGAAGACACAAAAAGGGGATGGTGCCATATCAAGCTCTAAATCTAGCCTTTTGCAGATCACTTCCTCAGCCTTAGAACATGGAGGTATAAAAACTTTTATTAAATAGAGCCAGGCTAAGAAGATATCGGTGGTGCAGATTTAGAGTAGAATTATTTCTAAATTTAACTATCTTATTTGGTGGTGGTGGTTTCAGCAGGACCACATGGGCAACTCTCTATTGTTGGGACCTCTCTCTTGGGAAACAATTTATATAGTGGATAACCAAAAATATTAGTTGAGAAATAACAAAAAGCACTGCCCACCTTTCTTGTCTTAGGCATATAAAATTTAACATTCTTAAGCAAAAATTTTCTATTCTTAGCAAACTGTTGGCAGCTTAGACCTACGTCCTATTAAAAATCTGAAAAATTGTTTTAGAATTCAAAAAAACTCTTTGGTAATACCTTTCATTTCTTACTCAAAGCTACCATCTGAAAGTAGACCTGAAGGGTTAAACATGCTTGACATGGAAACTTCATCTAGTTCTTTTCTCTGATGTTGCTTGCATCAGTTGAGTATTTGTTTCTTGTCTTGTGAAACAATCATAAAACCAAATTGTCAACATCAATAGGGAACAGAAAAAATTAATTAAGATAGGTTCATCTTGCATTCTATTTCCAGCACTTTCAAAATATTACATCAACCATTTATAAATTGTCTATCAATATATACATTTTATGAGGAACGTGTTTGTATATAGAAGTTGGATAGCTCATGACAACTGAGACATATATGAGAATTTGAACTAGATTATGGACAGATATAAGTTTTCGAATAGACTGATTTATCAAAGATGAAGTAGGATACTAGAGAATGTAAAGGACTAAAATAGCTCTAGCAATGATATGAGGATATAGGAGATAACAGAATGAGTGGATGGTAGAAATTTTTAGTGTTTTAAGACTTAGTAGTAATAATTTTCATTTGTCATGAAGTGATGAACCATGTAAAAAAACAAGTCTTGGGGTCAAAACATGCAGATCTGGCAGTAAAATACACATGGGTGTCTGCAGCATTTTTGGATTTTAATGTGAGCAGTGCTGTTTTCTCTGTGGACTTAGGCCGCAGATTCACAAGCCTACTCTCACGAGAAACCAAACCGTCATCACAGGGTTGTACTCTTCAGTACACTAATTTTTTGGTCCGTGATTTCAGGTATATATATATTTAAAGGTAGAGAGAGAAAGAGAGGGAAAGACCTTGATTAGGAAGAACTAATCTTTGTGCTATTTTTTCTATGAAACTACTTTTCTGTAAAAAAAAAAACAAAGGAATCCTAAACTTCTTTTAACTTTTAGTATGTCTCAGTTGCTTGTCCCAACAAAATTTAATTATTTAATCACATAAACTCAAGACCAAGAATCAGTTACTGCAGTTATATATATTTGCAGACTAATGGCATCTACTCAGGTGTGACTGGTTATGTTTGATTCTTCCAGGTGGTATTCGAGATTCAAGATTAAAGTAGGATACTGTGACTGTTATCCTCGAACTTACAACATTAAGTTTATTAAGTTTAAATACTAGTATTTTAACCATTAAATTACAGTTCTTTAAAATTATTATTCTTTAAGTGTCAGTACTAAGTTTAGCGTTACATTCTCCGTTAAGTTACACGTAGATCTACCCGAAAAAATGAGAAATTTTTTTTTCATTTTTTTTAATTAGAGATTTGATCTTGGTCATACAGCCATTGTGAAGACTGAGAAGAGAAAAAGGATTGAATATTTGGGAGTGAAGAGGTATTCCACCGGATGGGTCCATTTTGTCATTAGGAAGGGCAACAAAGGAGTGAAAAACCCAATGGGTTTGGCTCCCACTTTGTCATTCTTCACCTACACATACCCCAAAACGCCCGTGGTATGTCCTTTACTCCTCTTGCCCCCACAACTCCACATAAAACCTTCATAAATACCCTCCCCACCTTCTTCATTTTCCCATCATCACCACCACCTCCGCCACTATCTCTTTTCTTCTTCTTCTCTCTTTCTCTCTATTCCTTCTCTATCTCTCTCTCTCTCTCTCGCTTGCTTGTTTTTTGAAAAGAGATGGCAGTTAGAAAGTCTACCAAACTATCTCAAACTGCAATGTTGAAGCAAATTCTCAAGAGATGCTCAAGCTTGGGCAAGAAACTTGGGTATGATGAAGATGGCCTTCCTCTTGATGTCCCAAAAGGCCATTTTGCTGTCTATGTTGGAGAAAACAGGAGTAGGTACATTGTGCCAATCTCATTTTTAACTCATCCAGAGTTCCAATGCCTGCTTCGACGGGCAGAAGAAGAGTTTGGCTTCGATCACGATATGGGTCTCACTATTCCCTGTGAAGAAGTTGTTTTTCGCTCTCTAACATCGATGCTCAGATGAAACCAAAGAAAGAGATGATGATGGGTTTGCTGAAAGAAGAAGAAGAAGAAGAAGAAGAAGATGGCCATAAGATGAAAGCTTGAGAGTAAAAAGCTTCTCTTTTTTTAACATCTTCTTCACCTGTGATTCTTGATGATTCTTCTTTTATTGTTTTTCTCTTTCCTTACCTCCTTGGGTTTGCTGTTCTTTATCCCTTTTTGAGGGTTTTTTCTCAAATGTTGAATGACTCTAACATGAAAACCCAGAGAAGTTTTCTGGGTTAAATTTGTATAAACTAAGCTTCTAAGGTTTTCCTCACGGATTACGGATTGTTAACCCTTCTGTGAGAGAAGTTATTTATTAATTTTACTTTTTCCTGTTAAAATGTACTCTACTTCTGATGTAAGTGAAGTTAATGTTCGAGAAAATCAATGAAAGTCCTCTCTCTCACTCTGATGAACTGCCACTATTTTACATGACTCTGTTGAGACTTTTCTACAAAGCAAACAGATTCTATAATTGGAAGGTTGCTGTTCATATTGACTGAATTAGTTTCTTGAAACTATTAAGATCTGCGCATGGCAAACAGCATAGACCCAGAAGGATGTTTAAGGTCAAATCAAATCAAGGACATTCAGGAATTATTTTTGAGGTACTCACATGTATTGAGTTCTATAAACTTTTTCTCTTAATGCAAAATTAATTTAAAAAAAAAAAAAAAAATTAAAAACATCTGAAATGAAATTCAGTTTGTAATTAATCTCTATAAACAAAAAAAAAAATTATTCAAAAATATTTCTACAGATAAAAATTATTAAATGAAGGATATATTTTTATTGAAAATATTTAAATTTTTTTAAATAAAAAAAAAAAAAGGGATGAAGGAGATGTAAATGTTTTATGTGGAAATTAAATCCAACAAGAACATGGCTTGTCAGAGAATGTGGGCCACGTACTTTTTAACTCGTAGTTGTACGGATCAAAAAAGAGTTATTCCCAAAATCTTTGTATCCAAACAGTACTTAACATGTGGTTTATGACAAACAAGAAAGATTAATCTTGTTTATGTTTTAATTTTTTTTTGTTTTTTTTTTTTTTTTTGGGTTTAATTAAACTAACGGTCGTTATGACAGTTGATTAAATTTTTATTTATTTTCTAAAAATGTTTTTAAAAAAAGGAAATTATAATTAATATTGTGATTATAAATTCATATAAAATGTTGGGAAAACAATAATTTTTTATGTTGATTTAAATGGGGGTGGGAGTAAAATTCAAAGTTCAAGTAATCTTTTGATGTGAAATATATGATTTTAGCATGTTAATTATGATTGTGGGATATGTTATTATTCAACGAATCATACATACATACATACATGTATA